CAGGACTGGGCTATTCGAACTTAGATGATGTCTTTAGGCCATTGACCGAGTAAAAGGAAAAAAAAAATTAAATGCAAAACACAAATGACACTCCGAAAATAGGCAAAACAAGCATAGTAACTAGATCGACTACAGAGATAAACTAATACGATCAAGACAACATTTCAGTCTGTCCTTGTATAAGTTGTCCAATCTTCTATAGTGATGGTATCAGTTTGTCCATCAAACGTCGGGTCCTTGTACTCTATATAACTTTCTATTACTTCATATTCGCGCAGTAGGAGACTTCGCAAATATTTGATGGTCGTGTTCACAAGCCCATCCATGAGTGTTTTGAGTGATGGTTGCTCCATGATCCTCCTTCGGAATTCTTGCCGTCGTCGTTCATCGATGTTGTCTGCATAGGAAACACTTACACTTGCAGAATAGTCATTATGAATAAGGAAAGATACTTTGCACCGACCTCGAACAGTTGCCGCTGCACAAAACAAGGTCATCACGTTGAAATTGATGTGGCAGAATTTGACTGCTAAATAATAAAATTTTGAAAAGGGTGCGAGCACTTCTCGCGGGTATGTTCTCGTTCCACAACACCTCCGACCACAAATATACAGTGACTCTCGAGGAGAATGTTCCAAGTCTTCCGGTGGGGCATCCACACCTCTAACACTGAGTACTGCACTGTCAAAAATCACTTCAGATGTGAAGAAAACTGGACCTATATCATGCCATATATTTCTTCCCCACACCATGTTACTTGGCGACCATCCACTCGTCACAAATGGTAGAACCATTCTGCAACACATGAAAATACAGTTTAAATATATATAAATGAAAGCTCAATGACAACTAAATAACGTACTAATATGTGTAAAGAAATACGATTAGCTCTTCTTCAAAACCTATTTAAAATCTACCGATCTTCATTATCGGGAAGTGAAAGGCATACCAAGGCCTTCCTTCTGGCCGATTTTGGAATGTGCACTCCATTTTCTAAATGCAATGTCTTTGATGTCCGGCTCCACATAACATAGTCTACATGCTGCCACAGCTGTGATGTTGTGTTGTTTTTTTTCCACGTTTTCTTCCATGCGTTCGAATATTGTACAGAAAGACCTTTAGCAATAGGTCGTGGCACCCAATATTCAATAAGAATATGATTGAAAGTTGATGACTTCATATCGTTGTCTACATCGGAAATGACTCTACCCATCCATACAGAAACTCCCTCATCGATATCATCTTGGGAAGGACGCAAGAAAATGAATTGACCTTTTTCGACATCCACAACTGGGTTGACCTCCGCCTTTGGACGCTCAATAGCCGGTCCAACGAACAACGGGTCCTTATTCTCATTGCTCTTCAAGAGGAAGGCAATATCAATATCATATGGATCATCCTTCTTAATTTTGTTTTGTGAGGGCCAGAAGCCAGCCTTAAGTGAAGTTTTCGCAAACCCAGACCCGTAATGCTCCTCGACTGTCTCGAGGAAAGTTTTTCAGTGTGAAAGAACACTCTCCTTTGAGAAGATAACCTCATCTTTCATTCCCAACCACTCATGCCGCTTGTTCTTCAACCACCCAACAAACGTCTTCACACCTTCAATTCCCGATTCGAAATCCGAATTCCTATCTTTAGTAGGCAGAGAAGCTGACGGCGGAACAGGTGATGGCACRAATGGTCATTYGGGTCCARCATATGCTTTGTTTCYATCTCGTTTAAARCAATAGACTGGAGCAGACCATTCAGGAGAAGTGCAATACTCTTTCCATTGGAACACAGGATTGTCATCCTGCATATAAAACCTAAATGCATGTGGACGAGTATGATCGGTCAGTCTCTTGACCAGGAAGGGTTTAATAGCAGCTCGCCAATTAGCAATTTCATCCCTGAATGTGGACGATGGACGTTCTTTTTGAGAACCGACAACGAGCTTGAAGAGGTCGAGCATGGTATATGCATCGTGCATTTTCAGTTTGCGAGAGAAATGACTGAAAGTGACATCAACGTCCGTATGTGTGTGTCCCACTAACATAAAACCGAATTCGACTTCATTGAAGAAGCCAAATTTCACCGAAGCTGCAGTGAGTGCCGAAACGTATTTGTTTACGTTTTCTCTCCAACTGTCAACTTGTATCCTCAGTTTAGGAGGCAAGTCGCTCGTCGCCTGGATGTTGCGGAGAACTTTCATAATGGATGACACTACAACATTAGAATCATGCGGATAGCAAGGGTACCATGTGTGAACATGGACCGATGGTGAGCGGTCGTGTGCAATAATAACTGTTAGATTCGTTTTCAACATCGGAATATTTGCGAATGCCTTCGATTTGTTCTCTCCGCCAAAGTGTGGAATGCTGGGCTTGCTTTGATCCATGCCGTCAATGATGATGCACAAACTGTTGGAACCCAGTCTCTTCGACTCATCCTTCCACACCTCATACGTAGCACGATGTTGGAGCTGCAAGTCCAAGTGTTTCTCGCGTAACGAAACAAAGTACTCACGCACACGCACGGACTTTGTGAAATTGATAGATTCTTTGTATTCGACACATTTCTCGCATTTCGTAAAGTTTTGATAAATGTCATGAAATTTCACATGCCAGAACTGCGTTCTCCACATGTTGTAGAAAACTTGGAGAGAAACACAAGGAACACCCATGTTGTCGAATTGCGACTTTAGCAACTTGTAAATATCAACCTTGTTATAGCAAGCAGACAATCTCAATACCACTCTCGATTCCCCCTCTTTGATCTTCATGTCATTGGGCATGGAATCTCCGTTGTCTCGCACGAAGGAGCTTAGTTTCCCGTACATCGTTGCATATGTTGTTGATGTTCGTCTGAGTCCAGTACTGCCATGCTCCGGCATATTGTAGCGTTTTGACAAAGTCATCCTTTTTTTGAAAAATGTATTCCTACATACACCTAGTATGAAACACCAAGCACTAATGCACACCTTTCATCTCCCCACAATAGGTTGAACAATCTCCTTTTCATCTTCTATGAAGGTGAACCTCTTCAACGTTTCAACCCACCATGCATCCCTGCTCTGCAGGTTCTTAGAGTAGTATGCGCTCCGGACAGCTTTGATGTCGTCCAGGGTCATTTGAGCGCAACACTCTCGCTTACAGCAAACCTGCCCACGCACACTCGCCAATGTTTTTTTGGTGAGTTTTCTATGAACTGATTGCAGAATCTTCTTTGACCGCGACATTCTCAGACCAAAAGTATAAGGACGCTTCTCTGAGGACAAACGTTTTGGAAAAACGTCATCGAAATCAGAGATCACGTCACAATTCTCATCGTCATTTCAACAACAGTGGTCACTGTTCCGGTCAGCGTACGTTTGTGAAAAATCAGTTTTATCCGGAGAACTGTCAGCACTAGACGACACCGAAGCACTTGAATCTGAACCACCTTCATCACTCTCACCAAACAGAAGACCTGTGTACTCGAAATCTCGAAGTGAACTCCTTGGCACCCATACAACACGATCTACATCGGATGCGTCGTTGTCAGTAGAGGAGGCCCTACCCTCCTGACCTTCAGCACTCTCTGCATCACAGGTTCGAACCGGGCATCGAAGGACGGGATACGCACTTTCACATGTAGTGTCCGCACCCGCAATATTTCGTGACCTCTTATGAGCTGGAGATTCCGGAGCATTATCGACACGTTCGTGACCACTTCGAACATCTTGTGAACGCATTGGCAGGTGCGGTGGAGGAAAATCCTTATTGAGCATTGTATTAGACGCCACACAGTCCATGCTTTCCAAGGTTGTGCTGCAAGCCTGCCGTGACATAGCATGCACATCACAAGCTATGCATGAGACGTGTCTGTGACAACAAAACAGCGGACGGACCACTGTCAAAGGCGAAAATCAGAGGTCAATGAAATGGAGCAGACAACCATCCCTGCAAAACAGCGAGAAACACAGCCCTACAAATGAACCTGAGAAACACAGCCCTACACTGAACGGAGGGGAACAGGAAACATCCGAGAGAGGATAACACACGACCGTGGAATCTGGGCAGCAATCCAGTCATCAGGCCCAATCCGTGCCAAAGGCGCAATACACGAGAAAGAGTCTGTCAAAGTCGGAGATTGAACGACAGTGGGAAGCGTAGCACATGTCGAGTTTGGGCACAAGCAACGGAAAACACAACGTGCAACAGCATTGAAAAGGCGGAGATCTTGACGCGCGACAGGAAACGCAGCACATGTCACGTCGGGCACCAGCTTCAGAAAGACAGAGACCACGGCGCGCAAAACCCAACGGGCACCAACAGCAGAACGGCGAAGACTCTGGCGCGCAGCACACATCTTGGCACGAGGGCATTGATAGGAAATATTCTATATTACTCCAGGAACTACAGCGACTGGACACGCGTGGTACTCACCACCCACGCAGATCGGGCAGGAAAACTGCCACGAGTGAGCAGGAATACCATAGTGGCAACGCGACCGTACCATCTTGGCAAAGCGACCGCCTCGCCCAACACGGAAGGGTCCCCCGTCTTGATTCCCGGCATGCGTGGTACTCACCACCCACGTAGAGCGGGCAGGAAAACTGCCACGAGTGAGCAGGAAAACCATCGTGGCAACGTGACCGCCTCTCCCAACACGGAAGGGTCCCTCGTCTTGATTCCTGGGTACTTGACTCCGAGGATTCGAAGCAAAATTCGCGCAGAGTTCGTTCTACGACGCACGACGGGTTTCCAGAAAGCCAGGCTGAGAAGGCAAACGACTGCGGCAACGCCAATGTCGCGCTCAACACGACAGAAGCTCCATTGTATATTATCGCAATCTCGCAACAAGCAGTCAGTGCCACAAGAGACAAAAGACAGTCACCCGAGCACTATGTTCTGCTGGCGCAACTCGCACTAAACTCTGTGCAAGTCGAAACGAAGGTGGGGATCGTGGCGAAAAAGAGCAGGGTGTTCGACACGACCGTGATGGCGTTCGACACGACCAAGATCGCGTTCGACCGTGGCGGACACGACGACCACCGTGCTCGTCATGACGGCCACCGTGTCCGACCCGACGACCATCCCAGCCGACCCGACCACCATTGTGTCGGACACGACGACCATCGTCGATGATCGTGTCGGACATGAAGACGGCCGTGCTCTATACGATGGCGGTCGTGTTCGACACGACGACGACCGTGTTTGAGACGACGACGGCCGTGTTCGACACGACGTCGGTCACAACGACGGCCGTGCACGACACGACAACGATCGTGTTCAACGGGCCGGACACGACGACAAGGGTGTTCGACACGACGACGGCAATGTTCGACACAATGGCAATCGTGTTCTACCCGACGACGATCGTGTTCAACACGGCGACGATCATGTTCGACACAACAAGGATCGTGTTCGACACGACGGCTGTCGTGTTCGACACGACGACGACGCTGTCGGACTCGACGACGATCTTGTTTGACACGACGACCAGCATGTCGGACATGACGACGATCGTGTTCAACACGATGACCATTGTGTTCGACACGACGACGACAGTGTCGACCATCTTGTTCGACACGACGACCACTGTGGTGGAAGTGTTCGAGAAAACTTGTTGACGTCACTGGTAAACCAGCACTGAACACAGTCGTCCATGTAGGCTTTACTCTTTGTCTCGCGGGGGGGTAGGGGGGGGCCGTGTTGGCCGAAGCGGCACTAACCTGGAGAGCGGGGCAGTTGTCGTGTCGACCTTGGCGGACCGCTGCGCTGATTCTCCCAGAACATGAACAATGAGACAATGTCGCGGGTACTCATGTGCGCGAATCGCATTTGTGCTCAGCAGCTGAACGTCATCCCCGCGCCTCCGCTCGGGCCGAGGGGGGAAAACGATCGCGGCCGACTGCAGTCATTGGATCGTCCCGACCGTCCGTATTCCCGGATCGGACGGCCAACAGGCGCGCGCGGAGGGCCCACCCGAAAAACAACACATATGAGGCAGGCCCACCACTCCCCATTGGATCATCCCGACCGTCAGTATCCTCGGATCGGACGGCCAGCAGGTGCCCGCGAAGGGCCCTCCCGAAAAACTATATATATGAGGGAGGGCCACCAGTTCCCATTTTCGTTTCAGTTCGGCAACGCAACAGTAGCGCAGCGCAGCGGAGGCTCGTGCCACAGCGCAGCGCAGTGGAGGCTCGTGTTTAGCGCGGCAACGGAGCGCAGGGATTCGGTCCGTGCATAGCAGACCACCTGCTCGACGCGACAGCGGACCGCAGCGCTGTCGAGAGGCGTGTTCAGCGCGACGACGGAGCGAGCATACGGCCCAAGATCACAACGCACAACCACAGCGGAGCACCTCGAGTTTGAAGGATCGGACGGTGAGGACACAACCACGCATCCCAGATGCAACCACGTAACACCACGTGGCACTTCCGGACGTCGAGTCGAACACGATCACGCCCGATCGTCGAGTCGAACACAATCGTCGATTATCGGGCACTGTCGTCGAGTCCAACACGATCGTGTCCGATCGTCGTGTCCAACACGATCGTGTCCGATCATCGAGTCCAACACGATCGTGTCCGATCGTCATGTCCAACACGATCATGTCCGATCGTCGAGTCCAACACGATCGTGTCCGATCGTCGTGTCTAACACGGTCGTCGAGCCCAGATGCAACCACGTAACGCCACGGGCCCGATCGTCGAGTCGAACACGATAGTTGAGTCGAACATGACACTGCCCGATCGTCGAGTCAAACACGACAGTGCCCGATCGTCGAGTCGAACACGATAGTCGAGTCAAACAACGATCGTCGAGTTGAACACGATCGTCGAGTCGAACACGATTGTGTTCGTCGAGTCGGACACGATCGTCGAGTCGAACACGATAGTCGAGTCGAACACGATCGCCGAGTCGAAGACGATCGTCACGATCGTCTAGATGGTGCCCTGTCGTCGAGTCGAACACGATCCTTCCCTGTCGTCGAGTCGAACAAGATTGTGCGCGGTGCAATGTCATCGAATCATTCATCGAATCGTGCATGGGTTGCGTGCGTGGAATTATGGGCGTGGATTGCGCACATAGATTCTGTGCAGTGTGATGTCGTGCGGCCTGGTTTGTTTCCATTGTTAGGTGGAGGGGGGTGAATAGTTCTATGCTGCTGTTGGTTGTTCTATGCTCCTGTTGACCGTTGCACTTGTGCCGTGCAGGGCGTCTTCTCTTCACTGTTGCTATGGAGATCTCTCATATGACCCCAAAACTTTGGCGTGCATTCAAGGCCCACCCTTTCCCACCTTGCGCGCTGTACATCCGACAATGTCAGGGCAGCGTAACCTATGAAGGCGCTTGTCCAGAAGACTTCGAATGCGACCCTTGGATGAGAATCCTCCCGTTTGGTGACAAACATTTGGACTCGTGGGAGGAGTACGAGTGGGTGAACATGACAGAGAGATGCCCATGGGCGTGCGATTATGAGTTCGCAAATATGTCCGAATTCGGCAAACACATTCTTGTGCCGTTCGATGTGATGCGTCCCGTGCGCTTGCCTCTACTGTGTAAAAAGTTAAAAATAAGCCGTGTTGTGGGGGTTTTGGACTGCGAATACGTGATAACCTCGCCTCACACCTGGTGCCGTGTAATGAAACAGGAGTTACTCGATTGTGCGCGACATTCTTAGTTCCTCGATCATTATCCGTTGCGATCTTCCGGTCTGTCGCCAATAGCAGTTTAGTATTGTTGTGTGAGATTGCGTCTGGCATACTTTATCTTCTGTAGGGTCCTCTGTATTGCCGTTTCGAGCAGGGCAAGAAACTTGACCGATGCTGTCGTGTATGCGTCCAGGAACAAGTTGTCTATGTCCAGGAGGGATATGTGTTTAGTTCAAAGAAGGGTAGATGGGAGACTGGATATCGTGTTGGGTGGCCAGGTGGAGGACGTTGGCGCATGGCGCGAGGTCGAGGCTAAAGTCGTTTCAATTCGGGATACTATAGGCGCTTCTCTCGTCGGGAACTCCGGGTTCGTGCGAATGACATACATTTCGGTGTTTGCTGAGACGGCTAAGCAGTTGACCTTCGGATCGCCACTTAGCGCGTTGAATGGTCGCAAAGGCGAGATTGTTCCCCGTAGTCGATAGATAGCCTCGTGGAATTCGCATTGCGATAGTTGTTCTCAATGTGTTATTTCGATAACAATACGCGGTATCTTCTAGTTGTTCTCATCATTTGTTCAGTGGCCAAAAGTACACACGTGTGACGTTGCTGTCCTCATATTGTTTTTCGATTCATTGAAACCCGGGAATGATGACACGTGTTTTCGGTTTGGCTTTGGACACTGACACATCGCTGCCAGCCCGAGTGTTTGATTGTTGTTCTCATGTTGTGTTTCCTTTCGAAAAAAAAACCTCATTGTTCTGATGTTTTGCGTGCACAAGTATTCAACAGTCAATGTTTCTCCGTTTTAACCAGTACTTGCGATCTGTTGTCTTGTGTTTTCGTGATCAAGTGCCCCTTCAGGCACCGTCCACCGACCGTTGTGTCGAACATGACAAATGTCGCACAACACACCACAGTGTCGCTATCGTGTTCGACACGATGGTCGCCAGACGGTGCCCGAAGGGGCACTTGGTCGACTGTCGAACGGCAGGCGACGGTGTCACTGTCGTGCCGAACACGACGGTCAGCTCCCCTTCAGGCACCGTTTGACGACCATCGTGTCGAACACGACATGGACACTGTGGTCTGGCGACCAGACGGTGCATGAAGGGGCGCTTGGTCGACTGTCGCACGACAGTCAACAGTGTAGCTATCGTGTCCAACACGACGGTCGGACAGCCCACGCAGTACCGAGCTCGACGTCGAGCACGACGACGAGTTGGTCGGCCGTCGGGTTCGACAAGACATTGACACGACGACACGACAATGTCGCTATCGTGTCGAATTCGACGGTACTAAAGGACGTCGTAGCACGACCGTCGAGTTCGACACGACAGGGAAACGATGACGAGTTGGCGGGCAGAGCGGACCACAGTGTCGCTGTCGTGTTCGACACGATGGTCCGCAGATGGTGCCTGAAGGGGCACTTGGTCGACTGTCGAACGGCAGACGACAGTGTCGCTGTCGTGTTGAACACGACAGTCATCTTCCCTTCAGGCACCGTTTCGCGACCATCGTGTCGAACACGACATGGACACTGTGGTCTGGCGACTAGACGGTGCATGAAGGGGCATTTGGTCGACTGTCGCACGGCAGACAACAGTGTAGCTGTCATGTCCAACACGACGGTTGGACAGCCCGTGCAGTACCGAGCTCGACGTCGAGCACGACGACGAGTTGGTCGGCCGTCGGGTTCGACACGACAGTGACACGACGACACCTCAATGTCCCTATCGTGTTGAATTCGACGGCACTGGAGGACGTCGTGGCACGGCCGTCGAGTTCGATACGACAGTGAAACGACGACGAGCTGGCATGCTGCGGCCCGCTTCCGTTGCTCTGTGTTCCTGTCTATTCTTGTTCTCGAGTGCTGTGGTGTTTGCACGTCGGCAAAGCAATGACTGCTTTCTCGCTTGTGCGTTTTCTTCAGTTGCGACTAGCTACTCGATATGGATCGTGAGGGGAGGCCAAGTAAATGACGTACTAGTACTGGTTCCGGGAGCATGGAGCAGTCTCCGGAAAAACCGAAGGGAAAACCAACGGCTGGCGTGGGGGCTGGCGACACACTGGGGTCTAAGGGCCACCGAACCCGGGTGCTGCGGGGTGCACCTTCTACGAGCACTCCTTCCGCCCATGTTCGAGGTTCGGGACCGGATTCGGCTGTGTTGATGACTGGTGGGGCTGCGGGTCGAGACGAGGAGGCTACTGGTCGGCAGGGGAAATCTATGATGGACGTTGTGTCCAGGCGTAGAAGGTATGGTGAGACGTCCGTTGCAGGTGTGGGAGACGAGGTTCCTGTCGTCGACCACAAAGACAGGTGTTGGATGTTGGACTGGGTGGGTGGAATCAGGGAACCCTCAAGTGGGCTGGTTTTGTACGTGGTGATCAAAGATAACATTGTTCCGATTGGCGGTGTGGTGAAGTGGAGTGGAGGAAATTCACAGTTCGCCATGTCGGAGTTGACGATGGTCCTTAACGCTAGAGGTGAGCGGACGGCGAATGTCAAACGCGTTGCTCTTCGTTGGGCAAAACACGCTAGGTACAGCAAGAAGCTTTATGACATTTTCAATCCGCCCGGGACGGAGAAATTGACGTTGCCGGACCTTTGAGCGGTTTTCACATTCTTCGATAAAAATGTGGTCGCAGGGCATGAGCCGGTGGTGCATGCTTCCACCCGCATATCTAAACCGAAAAGCGTGCTTTCGTCATCTTTGGAGGCAGCTCCGTCGTCGAAACCAATCATTATAGATGCCCGCCCACCGCCATCGCTTCGGACTACGGTTGCTGCAACACGAGTTCCGAAATCTGGGCAGATCGGGGAGAAAGGTCCTTATCGCGGGCAAATCGTGCCGTCAGCCCCTGTGAAGCGTAGATCAACATTAACCAAGGAACCCGTTTCTTTGGTCCCCCCGCCACGCTATGAGTTGGTCATTCCTGCTGGGTCGCATTATTTTGGAGATGACGACGAGGAGAACAGCGAGGAAGATTGGGAGCGGGATGAAGAACGCGAAGAATATGAGGAGGGTGGCGGAGAAGAGAAAGTAGAGAGTGAGCACACAATCAGTGAGAGGGGTGGGCCGAGCGAATTGGAGGGTCGTCTAGGGGTTGAGTATGAGGACGAAGGGCAAGAAGAGGAAACGACCGGCGAGGGAGGGTATGCAGATGTGCATTGGGGTTCCAAACGAACGCAGCTGCTCGTGTCGGGTCATGGGCATTGGGAAGCGGATCCAGGGCGCGGGGAAATGCACCGCAAAGTTGGGGTCGAGCCGGTGCATGTCGATGCAGTCCGACTAGCTGAGAAGAAAAGGAAGAACATGCAAGAGAGGAGAAGTACTTTGGACAGTAAGAAAACCAAGCAGGAAGGGGGAGCCAAGCAAGAGGAGGGCAAACACAAGTTGAAAACGTTGGCAGTTGAGGAGGCCGTCCAACGTACGCGGGAGGCTGAGGAGGCCATGAAGAAAAAACGGCAGCCAAGGAAAAAAGCAGCGAAGGGAGGTATGATGGAAAAAACTTCCGTTTTTCCACTGGACCAGCCACAGTCGGATGAAGACGCTGTGGGCAAGACAGTCACCAGACCGCCCGGTTTGCAGATTCTGTCGCCTGGGAATTCTTCTCGTCATCTGAGCAAAGGCTTCTTCCTTGAGTTCGACGAGAATGGTAACCAGAGGCCGGAAATGCAGTTCATTACTGTCAAGTTGGACAGGATTCTCGATATTCCTGACGAGGAATTCAGATATAATCAACGCTTCCTCGATCAGGAGCTTATTGATGACCTCTACAAAACAATGATTGAGTCGGGTGAGGCAGCTATCAGAGAGAGAACGACCGGGGCAGCCGGGATGAATGTATGTGCATTGTACGAGAAACCTGTCCTTTTGTTGATTGGGCTTCCCCGGCTGCCCCGGTCGTTCCATGATACAACGCATACTGACGCTTCCTGCACAAATGTGAGGGCGAGAAGAGTGACGCCCGGCGAATTCGATCTCCAATCCGTGCGCAAGTTCTACTGGTACCCTCTCAGTGGTCAACACAATGTTGAGGCGGCGAGGAAATGTTTTCAAGAACGCCCTGACATCGCCTGTGAGCTCCGTTTGGATTGATGGACTGCAAGGCCTGTTTACTATCCGGATAGGAGCATGGACAATTACTGCACCTTGAGCACTTTCCAAAATGCGAAGGACAAATGGAATATTCCTCCGGATTGCTATCATTAAGAACATACGAAAGTTGTGGCAAGCAGCCGGTCGTCCAGAAGCTATAGGCGGATCTGCTGCAGACATTAAAAATAAGGATTACAGAGAGTTTGCAGCGATGGCTCTGCGCGCGACCGGGAGTGATCATTTGGTTACTCTTTCACTTCAGGCTTGGAGCAAGGAGTGGTCCGACTTCCTCGGGCCTTACATGGTATTGGCAAGGGCGACGAACGATGTGTTTGACAAGGTGCAACAAGTGTATTCTGCTTGGGAGAGTGGACAGTTACCGGGGAAAAGATGGTGTGAAGCCTGTGACCAAACAAGGTGAATCGGGGAAAGCGCCGAGACCTGGCCCCGGATTCGAGTTGGAAAAAGGAGTCAGGGTTCAAGTGCACTGGATTCAGGGTACTAGAGGACCTGGTTACCTCGTGGCTGTGCGCGATCCGGATGTCAGATCATGGACGGTTATGTCTACGTTGGGGAGACGTGAGAGGCTTCAGCTGTTGCGAGACATTCTCGCGGGAAGTGTCATACTGGCTCCAAGGCTAAGTAAAGCTGCTCACACTGCCAGGAAACATTCGATGGAGACATACGTGGAAATGGTAAAGTAGGAAAGAGCAATGTTGAAAATGTTTCACTACTTCGTCTTCATTTCTGACCCTCACAAGAAGCCGTCAGAGTGGAAGGAACCATTCTTCAACAACCTTTCTGATTTGTTCGCTAAGTATTGTGATCAAGGATTGACATCGGAGAGGGGGATCGACCAGCGATGGCATTTCAAAGAAATGAGTTGGGTGCGGTCATTTCCGGCTACACTTGGAGGTGAGGATGAGAAAGGAGAGGAGGGCTTCAAGAAAATAAAATTGCTTGCAAACAAATGCCCTGAAGAGTTCATTCAATTTGTCAACAAGTTGTTGCGTAGATCTGAAACTGGGGGTTCGCATAGCATTCGTTTGTCGGGACAAGCGAGGTATATATATTTCCAGAAACAGGACGTGACATCTATATTCGTGCCGTTCCAGTGAGAACCGAGCGATGTTTCAAACGAGATGGATTGCAAGGAGATGTTTAGAGCCGTCAAACACCTGACGTGCCACACAGCCGTCCTGGATTTGTGCCGCCCGATCTAGATGGGTGCGTAGACTGAACAAGTGTTTGGTGGACTCAAGAAGTTCATGGACAAACTTGGCGGCGAGTATTAGACATTGTTGTGCTTCGTTCCACGCTCTTGCGAGTTCACATTCTTGAGGCGAGTCGCGATGTGGGACATCCACATGGATCTTCTCAAATGGACTCGTATACAACAAACAAAGGGGAAAGTGACATATAAAGTTGCAAACTTGCCTTTGGAGGACACAGACAGAATGGTGGTCATCATGTTCTCCAACGACGGGGATTTTCATCGCAACACTATTCCCTTGTTTGAAGATATTCAAGCTGCAGATCCATCATCTGCCGAGCAGGTGGCTAACATATTGGCACTTGTGCGGAGAGAGAGAAAGCCGAAGATGTTGACTGATGTCGTGGAGAAGAACTTTCTACCATCAAAGTGGAAAATGGCAGGTATGGATCCACCGGAGAAAGTGGTCTATGATGGTATGGAAAGGGAGTCGAATGCGATGGTGGAGACATTGGAGCATTTTTGTCCTGCGGATGAGGCTGTCGTTTTCCTCGGGAAAGGTCATGCGGGATTGGTTTGGGAACTGTTAAAGAGTCACCGTCATTGCATTGTGCTGGAAGGGGAGGGTATGAAGTTCGAGTTCCTCACTCAGTTCATTGACAACATGGTCAAAACTCGAGATTACTACTACGCCAACTTTACTAAGCCGTCTCCTCGATATGATGAAGGGCGTGATCTCGTCTACAAGGTTGACCAAAACATGGTCAATATTTGGGAGTTTCTCTTCGAAACAAAGCTGCAAGACAGAGGGGAACAAACTTATGCCCTCAGAAGAAAAGTGGAGAAGCTCTTGAGGGGTTATCATAAAGCACCATCGGAGAGGGAGGTTTCATTTCTCGACCGCTTGGAGACAATGTACTTCGACCAACAAATCGGGGTGTTTACAATCGCAGGTTATGCGACTTGTTTTGTGGATGATGAGGACTTTGATGCGGACGACTCAGAAGAAGAGAGTGTTGATGGCACTTTGCAAGCGACTTTGGCAGCTGAGAGGCAAAAAGCTTGTAGCCCGGCTTCGCAGAGAATGGGTGTTCAAGGCACATCATCCGGTTCTGAAGGAGCTTCAAGCATGGCGGTTTCAACGGATCAGTTAATGACTCAGCCGCCGACTTCTTTTATTGTTACACCGACTCAGATGGCGGGCAATACGATGACGGTGGCATCCAGAGACAGTCTGGATCCGAATCTTCTAGCAATGCTCTCCCCAGAGTTAATGGCAACTCTGACACCATTTGCACATAACCCAAGTACTATTATGGAATTGCTACGCTCTCGAACTCCGCAACAACCTCCATTTGATGAGCCTTTGGAGTACGAGATTGGAGACACAATCCCTGCAGACATTCGACTGCTTCCGGGGCCTATAGTGTGCCGAGACGATTATACGGTGACGGATGATGCCACATGGGGTCATCACATTATATGGCACCCCCAACACTTCCAACCTGCATTGGCAAGAGGGAGGTGGGTTATGGCTATAAAAGAAGAACGGGAGTGGCAGTTTTGCCTCTACAGACGTTTGTCAGGATCGAACTTTCTGAAACATGCAAAAAATCAGGTTGCCAAGCGACTCCTGCGACTTAATCCGGAGGTTTCTCAATCAAGACTAGAAGTAAGAACATAAAAAATTTTCCAAGAGTTCAAAATATCGCAGTGGCTTGAGTATCTGGAAGAGTTCTATGATAGACAAACCAGCCCGGCTTATGGATATTATTGGCATGTCAGAGAAGATCTTGGGGAGAGGAAAAAATCAAGCGGCGGTGGTGAGCATGGCAAGGGATTCGGATCGAGCGGAGGTGCGCATGGCAAAGGATTGCGATCAGGGAGCGGTGCAAGTGACAAGGGTCCGGAACCAAATGACGGTGCAAGCGGCAAGGACGCAAGTCGTGGGGAACGGCAACAAACCGAAAAGTTTAAGGGGCATCAAGCAACAGAAGGCAAGGGATCAACACCTGTGGGCATGGCAAACCTACAGGACCAAGCGGCAGTGGTTCAACTGTCGAAGGCTCTCAGGGGCCTCAAGAAACAGAGCGCAAGGGATCAGGATCGAGTGGTGGTTCAACTGTCGAAGGGTCCCACCGTCGAGTCGAACACGACAGTGGCCTCGCATTGGAGCGTTCCTGGCTTGACCAAGCGAAGAAACTCACGGTCGAGTCGAACCCGACTGTGGGATCGGAAACGATCGCCGGTGCAACTGGCAAGGCTTCGGGACCACGGGGTGCAGTGCAACTATCGGCGGTGCTTCACCTGTCAAAGGGTCACACGGTCGTGTCGAACATGACACTCGTCCAACATTCGAGCGTTCGTGGCTTGACCAAGCGAAGAAACTCACTGCCGAGTCGAACCCGACAGTGGGATTGGGATCAATCGCCGGTACAAGTGGCAAGGCTTCAGGACAAATCGACGTTGTTTCACCTGTCGAAGGGTCACACGGTCGAGCCGAACACGACAGGGGTCCACTATTGGAACGCTTCCAGCTTGACCGAGCGGAGAAACTCGTGGTTGAGTCCAACCCGACACAGCAATGGGGATCGATTGCCGATGCGAGTGCCAAAACTTCGGGACGAAAAGGCGGTGTGAGTTGCGAGGGCGTGAGTACCGCTGACCAAGTTTGAGCGACTACGATACTAGTGGGCGATAGTGCCAAAACTTCGGGATGAAAAGGCGGTGTGAGTTGCGAGGCTATAGAAGTGGATATTACTGGTACACTCACGGGATTGCAGATGCCGTCGTCGACGATGCCAGCCGAAGTAAGCGGCACTTTCCGGGACACTTTTGAGGGCGTAAAGGAGGAAGAAACTCTCCATGTACAGGGCATCGAAGAGGATGAAGGACATATAGTACTAAGTACACCGGAGGAAGCTGTACTTGTATAACCTCAACAAACGCTTGAACAACCTCAAACACCACAGTCTGCTAACCTCATGATAGCTATCGAGGAATCTCCTATTGCGCAATTGCATATGGAAGGTGTGACAAAAGGTTGTGTTGAAGAAAAACTGAGAGTTACCCATCAAGGTGAGCACTTTCTTATCTTAGGAGGAATATTTAATACTATATGCGGATTAGTGGGTACATCACATGCACTCATCTCCCATTGTGTCGATCCCTCAAATGTATTGTTTATTTACCTAGCTTTGGAACTTTGCGTTTTCTGAAGAGAAATACTGCAATTGTTTTGTATGAAGACTTAGTGCAATTGCCGTATATTTTGTATTGGTACTCATGAGTCAGTTTCAACAACGGAAAGTCGAACTTGTAACTCATTACGTTTTATTTTGTCAATCATGCAGGGCGACGAAAAGAACTGTGAAAAACGACACATGTACACTCGCAAAAGAAGAGAGAGAAGAATATCATTCGCCGTGGCTTGCAAGCTTTGTCAACTTTGCCATTATTGCCAAAAAATGAGAGAAGAAGTCGTACACCCATGACATTTTCATCTCTGATGCCATCTGCCTTAAGGATGTTTAAAGCTGTTGGAATAAGCCTCACAGAAGGGAAGAAATTGCATCACGCAGGTTGCAGTTTATCTTTTATGGATAGCAGCACTGATGACGAAACAGATAGACAACCAACAACATGAGCTCATATTTATGTAGTCTATCACTTGTTTTTGTGTGAAGTCTTAGTCGCTCTACTGTTGTTTATATGTGTGTTTGTATGAAGTGCATGACCCTTCGTTCCAGATTCCTTTAGCAACAGTACACCTTACTGTCGAAGAAAATGAGTATCTTGAAATGATTACCGGCAGCACTGAAGAGAATGAAGAATACGGTATTGTCGATTACAAGAGGAGGTGGAACGTGGAAAAGAAAGACGTCATGCTCGCCGCCAAAGGTGGGGAATGGCTAAATGATAAAGTCGTCAATTTGTACCTGCTAGCCGTTCAGATCACCAATGACTACATCAAGAAGGTGGATTCGACATGTGCAAGAGTGGCAAAAGATGAAAGTTCTTGTAGCATTCTATCTGTGCATATTTTAATTTTTTTTTTCATTCTCAGATTGTCAAAAGCTCTGTCCGCTGAAATCGCATACTCCGAAGGGACGAAATGGGTGAAGGACATAAATCTTTTCAATTTTGATTTGGTAATTATCCCTTTCCATTTCGGAAATCATTGGGTCTTAGCTTATGTCAGTATAGATCGCTCTGAATGTAAATTCCACCTCGTAGACTCTCTCCATCGTGTTGACTACGGTCCAGCCCTCGAACTTTTGACAAGTTTTTTCAGAGCGGAGTTTCAGCGACAAAATCTTCGGGAAAAATATCATGTGGAAGAGCCTACATCCTACTTTGATACATCAGTAGATGGGATTCCTGCTCAAGAGGATTCTTCTAGTTGTGGTGTTTTTATGTTAGGTTTTGCATTTTTGCTTGCAAAATGTCACTTCCCTCCGTTCGGTTTCTCACAAGATAGTATTCCTGATATGAGACTTAGAATAACATTTGACATTTTGTCCATGGTTAGATAGGAAAGTCAATGAGAATTTCAGGTTCTAGGTTTGAAAAAATGAGGTAGACATGTTTACTTAGTGTGAACATTCGGGGTGAAAATGTGTATAGTAGGCACTTTTGAAAATATGTTGTATGATGACATTTCCTAGACTTTTTATCAGTTGTTGATGAGGTTGGCGTGTTTTACTGAGTGACATGTTTACAGAGTGGATTGTCAATCCTTGAGTGACATGTTTGCAGCTTGTGTACGTGTGAACATTCGAGGTGAAAATTTGTGTTTAATTTGCTTCAACAACTTTCATGTATAACCATTGTTTTCTCGTTGTTTGCTTATTTTTCCCTCAGTTTTTTGTGTCATTTTACAATTAAAATAAAAAATGAACATGAAAACAATTTCACTTTTAACGAAAACACCATTTATAACAAGGACCGGTGCGAACTATAGTACTGAAAACGCTATCCTAACGCGGCACCTTGACAGGGTCCCTGACCAACAAATCCGAGACGTATACGTAGCACGAATTAGTAATCGAAAGTATCCTACCACGAAGGACGGAGAGTCATCCGAGCTGTAAGAATTCGCACAAGAGAAAGGTTAAAAATCCATCCACACGGTCGAATTACCCATTTGACTTGCCCTGGATCATAGACATGAAGCCAGCAGCGTACGGATAACACGACAATTCATTCCGTCATGGGCTTGAATGGCACAACTACCTCTACTTGTTGTGATACCGACCTATCTACTACTTGAATACTTTCTGATTGCTCGTCCAGAGTGGAGGGACCCTTTTCACCACCACTTAAGATTTTCACCACAGCCGTCAGTGTCACGGCTGCAGGAAAGTACCGGCCCTTCGGGCTTTCCAACCGACCAAGTGCCCTTGTGGATCATATACACTCTCGGAACCGACAAGTGGGTGCGCACACAGACTTAGAGTCGAATTCGGACCACTAGGTGGGATGAGCCCCAATACTCTACATGTAATTCACTGCTCCCCTTCTACCGGAAGAAGGGGCCAGCTCAGTAGGTTTAAGCACGAGATTGTCAAGCGAAGGGTGCAAGTAACATTTCCGCCCGACCCTGAGCTAGCTCCTTTTATGAAGGAGCTTTGTAACATTTAGCTCGTGCTGGGTCGACGAGGGCTTGAACCCTCGACCTCGAAAACGAGAGGATCCTACAGTCAGAGCCCGTTGTGACAGTTGGCACAACGGGGTGGTCAGTAACTAGATTCTTTTCTTCTTTATTTTTTTATTTTTATTTTTCGTCTTCTTTAGGTAGTTAGATTCACCTTCTTTTTAGTTTTATTTTGTTTTCTTCTTTTTTCCATAGCTGCCTTTATTCACTTAAACGAATCCGCCTCCGAAAACAAGGTTGATCCATTCAAATAATTCATCATGATCATGAATCCGACCAAGGTTACAGAGGTAGGATTAAGGTCTCTCAGCGCTACGGTGGCACGTCGTGAAAACCAATGATACTGCGAGAGATAAGGAGGAGCGTGGGAGGCAGAGGCAGAAAGCGGTAAAGAACTGGGGAGCACGGGAGGACCGAGGCGAGGAAAAGGAAGTGGCACAGAAGAAAGGAGAATAGAGAGGAGGAAGAAAAAGAAAAATAAGTAGTAGAGGCTTCCTGCTCACGTCAGGGGAGGTTTTCCGTTCGTAAGGGACGTGCGAGTCGTTTTCTGGTGATCGAAAGAACATTTTGCGGCGTCATTCGGACCTCCGTCGGCCTTCATGACAGCTTACTCATCGGCAGACACGGTTGTCAAGGTTGTCCTATGCCGTGGTGTTGGGTCGTGGATCATTGCGCTCGTCGTCACTCATCCTTCGGGATGATTGGCGCAGGATCGCTGACAACGATCCGGTTGGTGATCGCTTGCAGGCCATAGAAACGGAGGTGCCCGTCACGGACCTCAGCTCTGGCACCCTCATCCCGTAGGTTTAGGGAGAACGGTTGCGGATTGTTGTGGTGTTGCTTTCGTATCCGCACTCACAACGGCGCGTTCCGTTTGAGAAGTTCCCCGAGTCAAGGAGAAAGGGGACGTGTAGAAGAAAAAGACGAAGAAGGAGAAGGAGAGGAAGGAGATGGAGGAGGAAATGGTCAAGCACTTACCTATGTTGCGGGGAACGTCCGGCAGTCGACGGTGACGACTACGACGACAGAACGAGAGAAAGAGCGAACAGGTAAATCCCAAATTTTGCGGATGGTCTCGTGATACTTCCATCGGTAGGATGAGAAAAATCAAATGAATCTGTGGCTAGAAATATGGATATATGCATTGTCATTCTTGTTTGATTATGAGCGGGTATATGTGAGAGAGAGAGAATGAGACTTGCCTGGTCGCCGCAGATCATCACCACTGCAGGTCGGGCGCCCAGTTCATAGGAGTAGAGCGCACGCCCCTCATCATGACTATAGTGGACAGAAAACATAGCTAATATACGTTCATTTATTAACTACTAATATTATTATTATTATTATTATTGTTATTATTGTTATTTTTTTTATTATTGTTATTATTGTTGTTACTATTATTTTATTTTTATTATTATTATTATTTTGGTTAGTATGGTTGTATGTGGCTTCCCTGCCATCCGTGGTCATTTTCAAGATCGCGAACTTCCTCCGTTTGTAGTAGATATCGTTGACTATGAATCGCTTTCTGAATCGTGATCTTACCTTCCGATAGCGCAAAACGACCCTGCTGGTAACCAACTAGGAAAGTAGATAGAGGGAAAGAAGGATCACATAAAGGAAAGATAGTGCATTCTAGTGAAGGAGAAGAGAAAAGGATAGGTGGCTAAAGAAGAAGAAGGAGAAGAAAAGGAAGGAGGAGAAGAGGAAGGAGAGAAGGGGAAGAGAAAGGAGAAAGAAGGCAGCTTACTGAGCCGACCTGTCAGTGCCTGCTACGACGAGAGGCGGACTCACCATCCGCCCAACTTATTGAATGAGTGTCTGCGCTTGTCGTGTCCCCATGCTGTGGTCTCAGTATATTGCACATCTTGACGGATTGCGTTGAGCTGTCGACAACGGCGAAGAGAGAGAGATAGGTAAGTCTCCAACTCCACGGCTTGCTCCTTGGTACTTTCGGGGACAAGATGGTCTAAACCGAATATATCTACCGCTAGAACGTGGAAATACACACTGTGACAATCATTTGTATGCATGTGCATGTGTGTTTATGTGTGTGTGTGGAAACGACTGCGTGTGTTAGAACTATATATATATATATATATATATATATATACATATATCAGCCTCCTGATGAGTCGGTGAAACTCCGACGAAACAGTTTGTCACAGCCCCTCGTTTGTTGTCCTCTTCTCCCTCTCTGCCTACGGTTTACCGGGCAGTTCTATTTGACGATATAAATCAAATCATCAATAGCGGTTTATTGAATAACTTTCATTTTCATTTGGATTTCACACAATCAAATCA